TAGGATTATCGCCTTTTGGCAAGTACGCAAGATTGACTTGTGCTAGTTATATAGTTTACACACATCACCTCTCAAATGATTTATTTGAAAAGCTTTTTGAAAAGATTTGAAATGGCTGCCAGTGCAAACTGGCTAATTGCCTGCATCTTTCAATTTCTTACTAGTGATTTCAGTGCATTTGGTCTTGTGATTAAAAGCTTCAAACCTTCTGTCATATGCTGGAGATAAGCTTTGAGAACTAACTCTTTAGTGAAAATAAGATTTGCAAGATTTTTGTTCCAGTTCAGCTTATGCCGACCGTACTTATAATTAGAGAACAATAAATTATGGGAGACCTGTTTATGCTTAGGAATTCCTTGCACAATTTACCACTCTATGGCAGCGCATGGAATCGTAAGAAATCCCCTGATATTGCAATTAAAAAGCTCTTTGAGAATTGCTCGCAATCTTGAGCTCTTGTCTGCTATTCAATAGGTATACGGCAGACATTATTGATAGGAAAATCGACTAATATGTTGTTTTTGTTAATTTTTGATTTGCTAAGCAATCATGAGAATCTGATAGAAAAAGGAGAAAGTTTTTAAAGAAAGCAAAATACTTATAACAGTTGGAGTTCTAATCTAGTTCTTACCTTTTCGGAAGGTGTATACTCAAGCAGCTCGAACAATGTAGCATAATCCAGTTGATCGATAATAGCTGCAGCAAAGGCATCGCTCAAAAGTACATATCTTGTACGGTAATCGAAAACCTAAACTGCTCTAAATAAGGGAAACTATAAGTATATCTCTTTAGACCGATCTAAAATGCCCTCTTGGAAAAGGGACCTTTGATTTGCAATTATGATGAAGCAGAGGTAATTTGTATTGTATAAGTATGCAGATCAACTTACTTTATGGTCTTCTTTCAACTGCTTTATAATGCGGTTCCAGCCAGCACTATCATAATTTTGTCTGAAGTATCCGCGACGATCGCCGTTTATTACTACAGGGCCGGAACGATCCACATTGATTAGGAGAGGTTCATCTGGAATGAAACTGCTCAGAATGTGAGACGAGTAATGACTGAAAAGATCTGACAAGCGAGGATTTATGGAGACGTGGAACGTAAGCAAAACTCGCAATTTGCTTTTATTCAAAACGCTGAACTCGAAACTTGTCAGTCTGTGGTAAGATAGTGATGCTGCTGCAGAAGCTGGGCAGTGCAAAGCGTTTTCATTATTCAGATTGCGGCCCAGCAGTATCATTCTCGAACAAGCATGTTCCACAATTCACAATCGTAAGGGATACTCTTAGCATTATACATCCAGAATTTTAAATTGTTCAAAATTTTAACTTAAATTCTAACTTGTTGCCATAACCCTTGATCAAGTGCTCTAAATACCAAAAATTGCTATCCTAATTATTATATTTAATAATAAAAAGTTCATTGAGATATTGAGCCACATTCTAAATTTTTACTTCTCTGAAAGCAAAAGGATATTACCAGCTCACCTCTTCTAAGCCATTCGAAATTCAGAGTTCCGTTGCCTGCTTTGTACCATATAGGTACGTCCCATTTGTAACTTTAATCAATTCAATAACTTGTGGTATGTGTGAATAAAAACTAACCTACCCGCGCCGTGATAAGTTATATTTTTCAAACCCTGGATTAGATGGACTAATCATGTATCTCTGTTGCGTTATATTCAATATTGAAGGACTCGAATACCTTGCAGTCACCAGTGGAAATCCCATCTGCGATGAAACTCATCAACAAATGCTCTATATGAGAAGCAAGAATACCTGTTTTGTCCACTGAGCTCCAAAATCTTTTATGTTCAAAAATGAGCCCCTCGGCTCCAATACTGCTTGAGCAACTTCGCTGAGAGATTGCCATAAGTCTTCGCTACGCGTGTTTTTGTACGAGAACTTTTTGAGGTAGTGCTGAAGGTCGATAATAAACAATTAGATCATGATGAATATCATTTACGAAAATACTATAGTGAAATAGGTAACCTTAACGGAACCTATTTAAATATTCTTTCCCAGTTTGAAAAGATGAGAATGATATGCTGTGGTGCCGAGCAAGCGATTAGGGGCCCTAGAAAAAATTGAAAGAGCTAGCTCTTTGCTCTAGCTTTGTCCATTGCTCCGCCAACTTTGTCCTGACACTGGGCATGGAACGAGTCATTCAAGTGCCATTTTCCTAAAACTCTTATAGCAGAAGTTCTCTCGCGCTGGCCAAAATCATATCCATTAATTGATTTTCTTTTGTAGAGTAAAGCGCCTCTGTCATCTCCTCGTTGCCATATTGAAGGGCATTGAAAAATAAACTCGACAACAAAAATGAACACACGACAGTTACTGAAGCAACACTACGCCCCTCATTGGACGTCAGCAAATGCGGCTTGAAACGTTATCTTACATATTTGTTTACTTCCGAAGACCCAAGCGAGATTTCTAGAGAAGTAAAAAAGGTTAGTTTTGTATGGTTACTCAATTTTTGATAAGAAAAATCGTCAAACGGTATTGTGCATAACTAGTACGTTTACTTCTTATAAAGACAATGACACGTTGCCAAAAGCTCACAAGC